CGTTGGCTGGAGCGTGGCGGGGGGAGGGGGGGCGGGGGGAAAAAACAAGCAGGGCCAGACCTGATTATTACTTCGATGGGAAATCATCAGGAAATTCTAGGGTTGTACTCTAGATTGGGAAATCAAAATCCATCCTGGAAGAAAGCAATGCCAAGTCACTCTTCGGAACACTTCTCCCAGGGAGGTTGGTATAGCACCAAACCTGGCTGCGTATTGCAAATAAAATAAAATAAAATAAAATATCACTACTGTTTCAGCATACTGTCAGCTCTAGCTGAATGCATGGCACCATCAAAGGAACAAATTGTTGTTTTATAATTTTGCTTTCATCTGATAGTTCTAATCTGCTTTGTCTTTTGCAGTTAGGTGCCTAGAGTCCTTTTGGAGTAGGGCAGATTATAACTGCCATTCAATAAGTAAATAAATAAATGTTGCTACCTCTTCCCAAAAGGTACACGGACTTGTCCACAGAGTAACCAAGAGTCTGACTTTACATTAATATATAAAATCACACACACAGACCCCACAGTACTCCCCGGGTCCATCTCCTCAAACTCAAAACCTCAAAAGGCTGTGTGTTTTATCTCCAACCAGCAGTTCCACTCCTGCCTCCAACCTTGTGAGATGTTCATCTCTAGTCTTCTTTTACCCCCTGCACCCTCTCTTCTCCAGTGCCATTAAGAGGGAGTCCATTTTATCCCCTTCCCAGGCAACCGCATTCGTGCTTTTATGGATCCTGCTGCCTTAAACCAGACCAGAGATATCCAGCCTTTGAAAAATGGAGAGGAAGAAAAAGGACAGAACTGGAGCTATTTCAAATCCATTATCCTTTCTAAGGATTCCTCCTTGCCTCCCCATGAACAAAAGCGAGGCAAGAACTCAAGGCAGCAGGCGCTAGTCGAGAAGGGCCTACAGGAAACAGGGGAATCCGCTCTCATAGGCATCCGCGGTATTTCCCACTTGGTCCATCCAAAACCCAAGCTGCAGGAACCTCCTCGTCTAAAGCCATCAGGATTGACTGGAAGATGACCTTTCCGGTTGAACCGTTTCATCGAGACATCTGGCCAGAGGATGGAACAAGCCAAAGCGCAATTTCGAACGTCCTAACAAAGCCCCCTTTTCCCTGGAGGAGATTCCAGAACGCCCCTCCCCCAGCACCAGGAGCGCGTAAGGACCACACTTAGCAACTTAATTGCTTTTGTTTAAAGGAGAAAATGAGGGGAGGTCGAGCCTGCGCGGCTATCTACTAGAGCCCTCTAAAGTGCATCCCAGCAGACTATAACGGAGCGGGTTCGGCAGGTCCATAATCATACGGGAAAAAGAGGGCGACTTCGGGAGAAGTTCCTATTCTCTCTTCCTTACTCCCTCGTCTCTCAGAGAAGCCTACGGGGGGAAGAGATGGTGCAGTCGGTCCACTCGAGGAATGCGCCGCGGAACCCGGCTCCCTCCCCCCACTCGGCCCGCTCCTTCCAGCCTCCGTTCTCAGCGAGCCGCAGGGGCCGCACGCCCTTTACCTTGGCTGTCGACGAGGAAAAGATGCAGCGGTGGGAGGCAGGCAGGCAGAGGCAGGCGAGCGGATCACAAGGGCTGGCTAGTCGGCCGCTAAAGGGGATCGCCCATGCTCAGCTCTAGAGGAGCACGGCTGCCGGCCGCCTCCTTTAACTACTGCCCGGTGCCAATCCCCCCCGCTCGCTGATTGGCTTCTTCCAGACGTGAGCGAGACATGATCAGCTGATGTGGGGGCTCATGGCTCCAGCGATTGGGCAACCAAGGGAGGGGGAGGAAAGAGAAGAAAGAAAGGAAGAAAGACAGAAGGGAGGGAACGAGGAGGCAGGAAAGTAGAGAAGAAAACAAGGGGCCCTCCCGGTTTTTGGACGGGAGGAAGAAATAACAAGTTCAGGGCAGCTGCAGAAGAGGTCGGGGGTGGCGGCTGCGGCTAAGATACTCGGTCTGTTCTGATGGGAACCAGGCACAGGGGAGCTTTCTTTGTGCACCGCCCGCGTGCAATTCAGAGCCCTTCGCGTTGCGGGCTTCAAAGAGGCTGAGCAAATTACAGCGCGTTGCAAATGGGGATGGCCTAGAGATCCCAACCCTGGCCCCGCTGACTTGGGAGCTCGCCTAGGCTTCCTTTAGAGGAAATCCGCCAGGGGAAGGGGCCGGGGCGCGCGCTGCCTTCACTCCTGACTGCAGCAAAGGATTGCCGCTCTTCCGCCGTGCAATGCGGGGGGAAAAGGGAGCGGGTCTGAAGGCACAATTTGAACTGATGTACGCTCTGGAGTTTGCTCTTCGGGAAACCCTAAAGGAGGTTCCCGCTTCCCCCTTCCTGCCCCTCCCATCTTTTTAGGGTCTGCGCCTCTCCCTGAATTCAACGGGCCCTCGCTACTTAGCAAGCAAGGCTTTGCAAAGCAACGACGGCGGGGCTGGCGCTCCCGTTGTGGGCGGTCAGGGGGCTTGTAGCGTGCTACGTAGCGCTTCGTGCAGCGCGTTTGGGTTTTGCGAGCCGGGTCTCTCTGCTGCCGCTCTGCCTCCTGCTTTGTTGTTGCAAAGCCGAAGGAACTCGCTGGGCGAAGGCGTGTGATTGGCAGGCGGGATCAGTCTTTCCCGGGCTCTCCGGGGAGTTCCGGGAAAGTAAGGACAGGAGGATCTCTCGGTCTTTTGTCAAGGTGTTTACAGCCAGCGCCGCCTTTACGTAACTTTCTCTGCATGCCCAGCAGGAGGCCCGAGCGAAAGTATCTTCAGCTTATCTTTCCCCGCCCTCAGTCCAAAGAGACAAGCTAATTTAGCCATTAATATAGCTGACATGCCGGTACATGCAGTGCTCAAGATAGTAAACAGGTTCCCCGATAGGAAAAAGCAAGCAGCTCTTTCGCCTCCAGATTAGTTGTTTGCTTGGCTGTAGGTAAATTGATTAGAGTGTCTTTTTAAAAGGGATTTATTCTTCTTCTGGTTAAAAGGGATTTAAGCCCTCAAGGCAGCTTCCCTCAATATCATCATCCGGAATCAATCCACTGCAGGATGAAGGTTGTGGACCCTCATCTACCACACTGGTCCAGTGCAAATTGGTAGATAGATTTATTTATTTTATTTTACATTTTTATGTATGTAACCCACCCATCCACCCACCAAGTCTAGCGCTGAGAAAGAGTGATTGTCTCACTCACCCAGCCAGCTTCTATGCCTGACGGAGAACTAGACCCTGGGTCTCCCCATTTCACATTCACATCTTAATTACTACACCACACTAGGTCTCAACTCATTCAATGCAAACTTTGTACCATGAAAATTATTTTTGAATTGAGATTTAAGTTATAAATGGGGGAGGGTGTATGCCACTCATCCAAAAGTGAATTCCAAAAATGTGGGGCCATAACAGAAAAGGCCCTGCTCCTTTGGTACTTGACTTTTTTTTTTTTTAAAGGTTGATAGAAGTCTAAGGCATTTGCCTGGCATCTTCACATACAACAATTACTGGGTTTTTACATAACATGGGGGGAGGGGGAGTGGCTCCAGATGACTTCTTTCACACCAAAAATTCTTATGTCTTCCCCCAGCTTCTTTTCTGTTATGGTATTTTAAAGCAAAAAGGATAGAGTAGCTGATGAATGGTTGAGTCCACACTTCATACTAAGCCAAAGTCAAACACACTGAAGTAGGGTGGAATGTGCTGTGAACCCGTATATCAATGTTTCTGAACTGTGACAACTTGAAGATGTGTGGATTTCAACTCCCAGAATTCCCCAGCCAGCAACAATATCTTAGTTTTCAAGGTTGAGAAACACTGCCATACATTGTGTTTTGTAAGCTATAATGTATGGCTTAATAATGTTCTATAAACCAGCCATTGGTTTATTGTTTAAGCCATGGTTAAGTAAATGTGCCATAGCACAATGGTTGAACCCAGCCAATGTTTTTTGGTAGGTAGTGCCATGAGCCACTTGCATGGGAACTATTTCTATGCATCCCTCAGCTCTTCAAAGGAAGTGGGAGAAGATTATAATAAATCTGTAATAATAGCTGCACAGTCTACATAGAGACTGACTTCAACAAACCTCTTAGATTTGTGCATTATGCACTATTTAAGGCTGCCTTTGAAGGCAGCCCATGAACTTCAGTTAATGCAGAATACAGCTTCAGGAAGGTTGGAGATATTTTGAACATAGTGTGCCAAGGCTTCCAGTTTATATCTAAACTCAGTTCAAAGTGCTGCTTTTGACCTATCTGTGCTTGGGAATTTGATGTTTAAGAATCCCTATTTCACCTATGTAAAAGGACAGTTTGGTGTAGTGGTCAAGGCACCAGGCTAGAAATCGGGAGACTGAGTTCTAGTCCTGCCTTAGGCACAAAGCCAGCAGGGTGACCTTGGGCCAGTCACACCCTCTCAGCCCTAGGAAGCAGGCAAGGGCAAACCACTTCCAGAATCTGGTCAAGAAAACTGCAGAGACTAGTCTGGGCAGTCGCCAGGTGTCAACATTGACTTGAAGGCACAAGGAAAAAAAATCACCTACCTGCCTGCCTGAAACTTATCAACACATCCCTCCTGCCATTTGAGATACAGAGAATGGTTCTTAGTTATCAAAAGTGGAGCACGTAAGCTTGGTTTTATACTTTTGAATGCTTGATACCCACTTCAAGATTATATTTACATGTGTAAATGTTTGGAAGTTGGGTATCAGCAACATCAGCAGGGGAATCAAAAGAGGTGAGCTGGCAGACCCAGTGTCATGATTCAAGTTCCACCCTTTTTGTATGTGCATTGATATTGCACACACAAAAGGCGTGAGGCTTCCTGGTGATGCCACATCCACCATCTTGCCTCTTATGACCTCCCCCTCAGATGCCACTGGGATCTCTCCCAGCATTTCTTTGCTGAGTGCATCATTAACTTAAGCAAGACAGCCCATGAACTTTAGCTAATGCAAGCAAGATTATTGTGTGTACAAAGATGGAAAGATTTGGCATTACGCACGGTGGAGGAATGGTTGGTATAAAACTTAGAACCACTGTAAAGGAAATTGGAAGCTACCTCTTTGTATCTTTCTTCTTTCTATTTTTCTTTTGCTTTTTTTCCCCCTTTCTTGCACTTTTAGCTTTCTCTTTGGTTTCTTTCTCTTTCTTTCCTTTGTCTTACTTTATGATAGTTAGTTTTTTATTTTCTTTTTTAAACCCTTGAATAAAATTATATACAAAAACGTCAGTTAATGCTGAGTACAGCTTCAAGAGTTTGGAGATGCTCTGAGCACAGCGTGTCAAGGCTCTGTAAGATCAGGTTGGCCCCAACCCTATTGGGTTTGTCATCGTGCTTGGGAATGCAGGTGTTTGGTAGAGCCCATAGAGTGGCTATGCCGATTGGTGGTGGTGGTGGGTTTTGGTATACCTCAGCTACTGATGGTATCGTTGTATGGGTTTTTTTAAAAAATATATTGCATATTGTATGTATAGCAGGAAGAAGGAGCATGAGAAGCTGGAGAAGTACCAGGGCTTGAAGGAGGAACTAGAGAGGATTTGGGAAGTCAAGGCCAAAGTGGCCCCAGTGGTGGTAGGAGCACTCAGGGCTGTGACTCCTGAGCTGGGAGAGTGGCTCCAACAGATCCCAGGGACAACATCAGAGCTCTCTGTCCAGAAGAGTGCAGTGCTAGAAACAGCTGAGATACTGCGCAGAACCCTCAACCTCCCAGGCCTCTGGTAGAGGATCTGAGATTGAGGAAGACACATACCATAGGGGTGAGAGGGTTTTCTGTTTTGTTTTCTTCT